TTTGTAGAACAAGAGATGCTTCCTTGATCAGTCTTGCCTTCCATTCTAAAGATTTTTCATAGAGGAAGGTCTGAGTACTACTTTAAAGAAGCAGCTCACACTCAGACTTGAGTCTCTCTGTCTAGCTGTATGGAAGTCCCTGACAAACTCTATTTTCAGGTACTGTGACCAAAAAACCCCAGATATCTTTTGTCTTTAGTAATTCCTAAAGCATACATTCCTTGCATTAATTGCAATTCTCCAAAATCACCTTGAGGCAGAGTACAACATAATTGGATTGTGGGTTACATATATATGCAAACGTATATTCAGGGCTTTCCCCCTTAAAACATGATTACTGGTATGCTAATGTAAAATATTACCAGTTTTTAAATAATTTATATTAAATTACCTTAGGAGTAAAGACTGTCTAGAGAAAAGTGTTATTTTATAGTTCATTAATGATTAATTATGTGACGCTGAGTAAAATGTGAAACTAAACTTTAAATATACAACCCTTAACACTTGGTCACATCACTGAGTTCCAACTGGCCACTCATTTGTGTCCACTCATTGAAGGAAAGAATTTATCTTGGGGAAGGGGAATGTTAGAGACGCTTTGTAACAAGGTAAAGGAAAGATGAACACACATCTGAAATTGCTAAGACATCAAGTCTGAAACATGCAGTGTTCTAGCAGCTACACAATTTTTGACAAGCTTTTCAGAGTACAAACTTTCCAAAAGTTTTAGTGCCATTTTAAGCCTTAATGGCTTAAAAGAGCACTAAGACTTTTGAGACACCCTATATATCACTTCTTTGTCAGTGTGAGGAAGAGAAATTCTGTGCTCCATGTATTTGTATTTTAACCTGCATTGCTCACTCCCTTTTCTAAATTCCTTTTGAAACCTTTTATACACTGCCAAATTTAGTATTGTTAATATGAGTTGTTTGTACTGATTTGCTCTCTGATTGTTTTATGTTTACAAATGCCCAATTCTTATCCGAGTCAATTCAGCAACTATTTATTATGGACCTACTATGGGCCAAGTACTATGCTAGGCCCAAGGGATAAGAAGGCAAATACGAAATAGGTCTACCTTTAAAGAGTTACATTTTAGGGATGGGATATAACGTGTACAGATAAGTAAATGCAAGATAATTACATAAGTGCAAGAATCAGGAAAGATTTGAGTACAAGATGGTTCCCTAAGCTGAGACTTAAAGAAAACCAGGAATTTCTAAAGGTGAAGGTCCCCTATACATCATTTTTTTTTCTGGTAGCAAAAAAAATGAAAACAAAATAGAGGTCCATTGATTGGGGGAAGGCTAAACAATCTATAGTACATGAATGGTAATGGAATATTACTGAGCTGCAAGAAACGAGGAGTGTAAAGAATTCAGAGAAGCATGAGAAGATACATTAAATGAAAAGGAGTGAAGTAAATAAAACCAGGAAAACATTATACACAAAGACCATCACAATAAAAGTAGAAAGAACAATAAAATAAAACTGAATGACATGAAATTATAATGACTGAGCCTGGTCCCAGAAGAGAGTTGACCTTCCTCCCTTCATTGCATCAATGGGAGATTATGAGTATAGAACATTGCAGACACTGTCAAACACTGTTAATGGTTGAATTTTTCTCATCTGGTTTTTTTTTTCATTTTTTTTTTAAATCTTTGCTGCAAGATACAGCTGTGTTGTAGGAGAATAGGAAGGGATACATTCAAAAATGAACGTGATATGAAAAACAAAAGACATTAATAAACCTAAGATGCATTTTTTTTAAAAAAGTGATCATTAGTAACTTTGTAGAAAGCAATTTCAGAAGAATTAAAAGGTGGGGGACACATTCCTTCAATCTGTGCAGGGGGTTGCTCTCTCAGTGTAATTAAATTTGGATTCAGTTGGTCTTCTGTGCTGTATCCTACCAATTTAATTTACCCTAGGGGCGCTAATTCCTAGAACCAAGTCAGAATGGTTTAGGGATTTTCTTCCATATGCATACATAGAATTGGAAACATAATAATAATAATAATGATAATGCCTAGCATTTATGCAGTGATCTAAGGTTTGCAAAGCACATGCCCTCTCTCTCTCTCTATGTCTCTCTCTTTCTCTCTTTCTCTCTTTCTCCCTGTATGTGTGTGTCTGTTTCTGTCTTTGAACATATATATGCATATACACACACACATGTATATACACATATGTATCTATATCCTCATTTTGCAGATGAGGAAACTGAAGCTATGAAAGGCCTAATGATTTGCTCAGAGCCACATAGTAAGTGTTCAAGGCCAGATTTGAACCCAGATCTTCCTTACTTTAAGTTCAGCTTTCTAGTCACTACATGACCTAGTAGCCTATATGTAAAATGCTACATAAATGTTAGAGTATTATCATTATTGGTTTTGGGCTTCTCAAAGGATCTTTCACATTGACTGCTTTTCCTTTGGGGCTGGTTTGCTAAGTAGTTCTTGTAGGAGAACAGAGGAAGTTGTGCTCAACTCTGTCCCTTTTCTTAATAAAGTAAAAGTTTCCCTAACCCCTTAAGCATCAGATGTCCACTGCCAGATGAAAAATCACTCCTAGGATAGGTGGTAAACCAGGGTTGGGGTCTAGCAAGGGATTCAAAGGAATAGGATGTGGTATAGCTGAATTGGTCAACCACAGAGTCAAGATTGTGAAGGGAAAAAAGCAAAGCTAGTATAAGGGTAATTCACTGGGAGAATAGTAAGAGGTGGAAGGATTGGAGATTGAATGAGCATGATGAACAAGTTATGAAGGACAGAAGGGGGAAGGACAAAAGGGGGAAGGACGGGAGGTTATTATCAAAGGAATTTCAGAGTTTAAGATCATGGAGATAGGGAATGTAGCCATAATTTAGCACATTTGTCTGCACTGTTCTTCCTGGTTTTTTTCTCTGTTTTATGTCTGTAAGTCTTCAGTTTCTCCCAAGGTTATAAGCTCCTTGAGGTCAGGGACAATACCTTCTTTGTTTTTTTAAGCTCTCAGCATCTCTACTAACAGAATTTTAATAGGTGCCTCATAAATATTGGTCGATTGACTGTGACCTTTGGGGTGCATTTGAAAGCTATGACATCATAATTTCATGGAGTGGGAAAGGGAAAAATGGCTTTCTGCCAAGAGTAACAATCTCATGTGCTCTATTTTCTCGGATTGAGGAATACTGTCCAGTCCAAGCTAAACAGCTAGAAAGAGAGACTACAGACTGCCATTCAGCAAATCAATTCTAGGCCCTCCCTCTAGTGGGTAATGTATCCTGTTCCTTCCCTATTTCACAATCCCTCTGATACCATTACCTCCATTGCTGGAGAAATGTACTCCTTCCCGGGGAATACTAGAAGGTGCTGAGGCCAATGGGCCAAGAACAAAAGCAGCTTTACTCTCACTTGAAAGGCCCCAAATTAGAGACGCTTTTTCAATTGGCCTTAGTATTACACAGCTTATACCAGCAAATAAATCCCAGCATCAATGCCACTCATCTCTTTTTCGGGTGGTCCTGCAGTTGAAAAAAAAAAACCAGACTGAACCACAAAAGAGAATGAGCAATGATGGCAGGTTTGCCTACAGGAAAGTAATAACCTCGGTTATAAAAGATCACCAAGTTTGGAGCCTCCACTTGACATCCCTACCATGCTAAACAGCTTACTGGAGCTGAGCTGCAGTATTCTTTGCTCTAGTCATCCCTGAAAGCATAATACCAGAAAAGTAGATGGGAGAAATATATTAGGGACCCAGCAAACATTCTGCAAGTTCAGGGTTGATTCCCCCCACCCCCTTCCCTTCCTCTCCCATTTGAATGAGGAGGTAGAGTAAAAGATGTCTGCCTAAAGGCATGAATGAACACTAGTGGAGCTGGTGTGGAGACTAAGCAGGGATAAAAAGAGGAGAGAGAGGGAAGGGAGTGGTGAGAGAAAGGACTCTGGAGGGTTTGCCCTTGCCTTGCAGGCCTTGCATGCAAAGCACTGAAAACTTGAAGAATCCTGGAGACTCTCATATTTTCTCTAAAACTGGGTGGACTATGGAGCTGGAGAAGATTATATAGAATAGGAGGAGAGAGACAGAAACAGAAAAACAGAGGGAGAGATAGAGGCAGCAGAGAAAGACAGACTGGCAGAAAAACAGACAGATAAAGGGAGATAGAGAGATAGAGACAGAGATAGAATGGGGGAGAAGAGAAAGAGAGAGACAAAGGCAGCACAGAGAGAAAGGCAGAACAACACATAAATAGAGACACAGACAGACAGTTTAAACAACTCAGGATTTTCAAACATCTTTGGGTTGCTGTTGACAGAATCTCATTGTTTCAGAGTTGGAAAAGTCCTTAGAAGCTATCCGAGCCAAACCATGTTGTTCAGTCATTTCATTCATGTCCAACTCTTCATGACTCCATTTAGGGTTTTCTTGGAAAAGATACTGTCATTTCCTTCTCCAGCTTATTTTACTGTTGAGGCATATGAGGTTAAGTGACTTACCCAGGGTCACACAGCTATTAAGTGTCTATGGCCAGATTTGAACTCATGCTCCACAATATATCCACTGCACCACCTAGCTGCCCTGAAGTTAGTCTGCCATCACCTATTCTTTGTGATACAACAACAACAAGCTGTCTTTCTGCCACCCTTGCTTCCTTTTCTAAATGTTCCTTAACCATCCCTTTAAAAACATACAGCCTTTTATAAACTTTGAAGGCCCTTATCCCAACTCCCACTCTCACAGACAACTCAGGAACCCCAGATCCAGGCTACATCTCACTAGCCAAGTTCATGGGGTACCTTGAGAGATTGAGGTGATTCTGTAATGTTATCAGCTTGAACTTCCATATGTTTTTCCCAATGTTAATGACCAATGATTAATACCTCAGTTTAATTTAACCAATTAACTTCAATTTATTGTGACAAAAGGATATTAACTCTAAAAATCCAGCTAGAATAGACGTTACAAAGCATTTTCCCCACCTCCAACAGCAGGGAGGGTCACACCCTTTTCACCTATTATCTGAGTCTCTGAGATGGATCCAAGGGCTGTGCTGGTGGACCACGTTCAGCTGGTTGCAATCTCTACATAAACTCTGGCTCCCAGACTTCTGGTGGGTTCATCATTCTGACCTTTTGAAACTTACATAGTCACAGCAGTCTATAATACTCTTTAACCTAAAAGTAGGAAAGAAAAAAATGCAAAGAAGCAAACACAGAGACCCATATTCATATGCCACCCATGAGCCCCAGGTGGAGAGGGCCCAAGTCTCCTACCCATCCAGAAGCTTACAGCATGTCTCTCTCACTCAAACACAGAAAGTAAACAAAGAGAACGCCTTCTGAATGCACACAGTTCCAGCTCAGTAGCCTTTCAAAAGTCCATCTCTTCAAGGCATGGTTAGTGGACTGGATCCAGTTATAGAATATTTGAGAGTAATCCAAAGTCCATGTGAGGATTGCATCTGCTGAGCATGCTGTGCATATTTATAATGCCTGGCTTTGTCCATTCCCCTCCTACAAATATAATCTAGAATTTTGCCTAGAATTGAAGTCATGATCATTCACCTGTAGTTTTTAGATTCTATTCCTTTTCTTTCTTTCTTTTTTCCTTTTTTTAAAAATCAGCACATTTGCCCTTCTCCAGTCCTGTGACATACCTCCCATTCTTTCAGATATTTGAAAGATGACTGATGGTGGAGCCTGCTTCAGGTTGTGCATGATAATGCAGAATAGAGAAGCTTAATTCTTCACTTCAGAGCATGCCCCAATATTCTATGACTCTTTCCAGTCCCCTGACAGCATGGTGAAGAAAAAGCTTTTTGCTTGGCTGCCTGGTCAAGATGTGTAAGGACAACCCTCTGATCTCTGATTTAAATTAATAGGAGGACAGCATAAAATGATACCTTTGTTCCTTAACTTATTTATTCATCAATAAATACTCAACTAAAATTTTACTTTCCTTGTTCAGGAAAGCCTTTATTTATTTGTTTCTTTGTTTTTTATTTAGTTAGAGGGTTAAAATATCCTGCAGATCTAGGATATCTTAGAAAGCCAGTTATTAAAAGGCTTTCTCCTGCATTGATGGAGTCATTGATAGTCAGACTTCATTATAGTAGTGGTTTTTCTCTCTATTTTTTTTAATTAATTAGTGTATTTTTAGTTTTCAACATTCACTTCCATAAGCTTTTGAGTTTTAAATTTTCTCCCCCTCCATCCTCACCTCCCTCACCAAAATAGCCTGAAATCTGGTATAGTTTCTACATATACATTCCTATATTTTCACATTAGTCATGTTGTAAAGAAGAATTAGAACCAATAGGAAGAACCACAAGAAAGAAGACACAAAACAAAACAGAAGAAAAAAAAGAGTAAATAGTATGCTTCAATCTGCATTCAGACTCCATAGTTCTTTCTCTGGATGTGAATAGCATTTTCCGTCACGAGACTTTTGGAGATATCTTAGATCCTTGCATTGCTGAGAAGAGCTAAGTCTATCAAAGTTAGTCATCACACAGTATGGCTGTGTACAATGTTCTCTTCGTTCTGCTCACTTCACTCAGCATCAGTTCATATAAGTTTTCCCAGGTTTTTCCGAAGTCCATTTGTTCATCATTTCTTAGAGCACAATACATTACATTCATATACCACAACTTGTTCAGCCATTCTCCAATTCATGGGCATCCCCTCAATTTCCAATTCTTGACCACCACAAAAAGAGCTACTATACATATTTTTGTAAATATTTTGGGTCATTCCCTCATTTTTATGATCTGTTTGGGATACAGACCTAGAAGTGCTATTGCTGGGTCAAAGGGGATGCACATTTTTATAGCCCTTTGGGCATAGTTCCAAATTGCTCTCCAAAATGGTTGGATCAGTTCACAACTCCACCAACAATGCATTAGTGTTCTAATTTTCCCACATCTTCTCCAACATTTATCAGTTTTTCTCTTTAAAAAGATGTAGCTTAACGCTCTATAGAGAGATTTCAAGAAAGGTTTTGACCTTTTTCAAGAAATGCTCAAAACTATCTATATTCTTAAATTTCCTGTTCCTTGATCTTTCCTCTTCTACAAATTTATTTTGTGTTTTATTATTATTGTGAGAGATACCATGGCTTAGTGGATGACAGAAGTGATCTCTGAGCGGGGAAGACCTGGTTTGGGGTCCTGCTTCTTACACATACTGATTGTGTGACCTTGGGCAAATAATCTATTGTGCTATTCTCCAGGCATTTTTGAGAAACTATATGAGTTAAAGGGAAGGTATTGGTAGACCTACGATAGTAAATGTAGAATCCCTCACTGGGAGCTCCCTATATCAACAGTATCACATATCCAGTACTTATCTCCTATATTATTGCAGGGGGTAAGGGTGGGGGAAGTACTATAAGTCAACATTATTCTAGTTGAATTTCATTTTTCCCATGAAACAATATTATAATAAGGGGTCATATTTTTGATGCCTCAATTTTTTGGAGAAATCACAGAAATAGTAACTCAAAGTAGAAAAAGAAAGCAGTTTTTTTTTTTTTTGAAACAGAGATTGGGAAGAAAAAAGGCAAAAAGTAAATTATGTTTTCTCTCTTCCTAACCCAAAAGTCTATATTCAACCAAGTCTATATTCAACCAACCATGGGAAACAGTTACTCTAGCAACTTACTAACTTATTCAATCAACTTCTCCCTCTCCTTTATAGTCACTCAATTAGTACTGAATTACTTCTTTGCTAAGCCCTGCAAGTTTTATAACCTGGCTGAGATCAACCTATTTCTTGAAGAACTTAAAAGAACAAGTTTTTTTTTTCTTCTCTAAACCTCTAGAACATATTTGAACAGAACAGTTCTTAAGCAAGTTTTATAGTAGTTTCTCTAACAGGGACAATAGCCATTAGTCCTAGTCAATTAATACAGGCAGGCCTCACGATCATCTAGGGTTGTGTCTCTAGAAATGGTTCTGTAAATTGAAATGATGCAAAGAGAATCTGATTGCTCAAAAGAAACAATACTATAATAGGAAGATGTCTTTGACCAGAGGCTTTATATTGAGAAAGTTGATTCATTGAGGACCCCTACTCTATTTTAATCAGTATCAATCAGCTTGATATGATTCTATAGGGGTAGTGATTATAAGTTCTGTATGTTTGGCCCCAGAGATGTGAGCTGCAGATTGTAAGTTCCCTTACTTAATCATAGGAAGGTAACTAGAGACTCTCCACTCTTGATTTTCCTTGTCATGGAGACTAAGCCCAGTGTGGCAGAGTTGACTCAACTACATGGAAAGTGCCCTAATTAATTTGTATGCCTCTGGACCATTCTCTCTTGTCCCACATGAGCAAGTGACCATCTTATGACCACTTCATCAGTGGAGATGCCCCATGCTTCAACCGATCTGTGACCACCCTGCTATTATATCATTTTTTGGCCTTCAAGAACAAGATCTATCAACCAATGAGATTCTGTATTTTGCCATGCCTCTTTCATGTATTTGGGCAAGAATAAGCAATGTATTAATCTATGCTTTGTATAAGTCATGTAAAAATATAGTTTTGACTAGAAGGCCTCTATAATAGGTCTCAAACTTTAACATAATGTTCATTACTTGTTTACCAGCTATGGAGCTCACTTGTGCAATCATAAATATGCTGACAAAGACATCTCCAACCTGCTTTGCTCAAATTCGATGACCAAACCAAGCATGGGTGGTGGTATGGTATGGAAAGTCCCCCAGGAGTGTATACATAGCTCCTGCCTAACCTAAGGAGAAGCACGCCCATCTTTTGACCACCTAGTCAGTGGAGTTATTTCTTGCTTTTCCCAACCCATGACCCTGTTGATATATTGTTTGCTTATTTTAGCCAATGCATCATATGTCAACCAATGGAATTATTCTGTATTTGGCATAGCTGCTTGAGAATGTCTAGATATCTAGCCCTATAAAAACTGGGCCCTGGAAGGAGGAAAATCTGAGGTCCACTTCACTAGAGAGAACTATGGACCCTTTAATAATCACAGATTTAATTGACTCGGATTTAATAAAGTGCCATTGGTTCAGAGCTCTCACTCAGTCTCTTATTGTTAAAGGCTGGGCAATTTTAATCTCCACAATATTCAACTAAAAAAAATTTTTTATACCTTTAAAATATATATATACATATATAAAACAGTAGTTTCTGGATATAACCCTTCCTCACCTCTCTCTTGTAGTGAATCTACCCTCATAACAAAGAAAAAACACTTAAGCAAAAGCAACCAATATAGCAGTTGAGTTTGACAATGTATGAAGTATTCTGCTCCTGTAAGCCCTTGCCTCTCTACCAAGAGGCGAAAAGTACGTTTCATTACCTGTTCTCCAAGGTCAAGATTGGCTATCACAATTAGCACTTAGATTCCTTTTAATATTTTTATCTTTACAATATTAAATTTTTTTTAAATATTATTTAATTTATTTTGTTAAATACATCTCGATTATATGTTAAAAAAAAACTTTAACAATCAATTTTTAAAAAATTTTTGAGTTCCAAATTCTCCCCCTCCCTCTCTCCCCTTCCCCTTCCTGAAGAAGGCAAGCAATTTGATATTGAAAGTCATGCAAAACATACCTCCATATTAGCCATACTGTAAAAGAAAACAAAAACAAAATAAAACAATAAAAATAAAGAAAGCAAAAAACTGTGCTTCAATCTACATTCAGAGTCCACCTGTTTTAATTTACATTTCTCTAATCAGTAATGAGAGCATTTTTTCATGTGACTATTGATAGCTTTGTTTTCTTCTTCTGAAAACTGCCTTTTCACATCTTTTGACCATTTATCAGCTGGGGAGTGACTCTTGTTTTTTATAAACTTGACTCAGTTTCCTACATATTTGAAAAATGAAGCCTTTATCACAGAAACTGGCTGTAAAAATTTTTTCCCCAGTTTCTTTTTTCCTTCTAATTTTGGCTGCATTGATTTTGTTTTTTTTTTAAAAAGCTTTTTAATTTCATATAATCAAAATTCTCTATTTGACTTCTCATAATCCTCTTTATCTCTTGTTTGGTTATAAACTCTTCCCTTATCAATTGCTCTGACCATTACATTTTCCCGTGCTTCCCTAATTTACTTATGATATTACCCTTTAGTCTAAATCATTTATCTATTTTGATCCCATCTTGGTATACGGTGTGAGGTGTTGT